TGTGCAGTGATTTTGTGATCTTTGCATACTATTGGAGATGCTTATATTTTAAGTTTTTGTATGTCGTATTTGTGCATGCATGGATCATATTAATTTCCTCTATTATAATTATTTTATCGGATGTTAATATACACACCTGTTAATGTGTGTATATATGAGTACATACGTATAAAGTAAGATGAATTAATAAAGATCCTAAAAGGAGAATTTCTTGACCAACTACACAAAATAAAGAAAGGATAAAATTTGGACGTGGGATGTTTAGTTGCATGTACCTTGTACTTGAAGATCCTTATTAGGTGAGAGCTTCATGCACACTCTCTCTTCCACATTATCCTTTTTTTCTATATTATAGTGTCTACTCCTTAAATTTGATAGTAAACTTATACAATTATTTATTCATAAATAATCACAAAAACAATCATCTATTGAAATTTAAAACTCTTACAAAGCAGTCTTAATTTGAAAACTCTATTGCTGATGGTAATTGAGTTTCTTGAATATACCAACACAAAATATGTACATCTGTTAGAAATTTATCTTCAATCTGGATCAATAGAAGGCAAAACCGTGTTAAAATAATTAATTGTTTTTTAATTGCATGCATGACAAAAGTAAGAAAAAGAACCTACTCTTTGTCTTCTTCCTTCATCTTTTTCCTCCTTGGAATAGTCACAAGTCATCCCTGTCTCATGACATATAAATACCACCAAAACCCTAATCTCATAAAAAGTTTTGGTTGTCTGGTTTTTCTTCTTCCATGCAAGTAAGCCCAATATCTTACCCTATACATATAATATATATATCTTGCTGTTTTCTTCTTTCAAATTCCTTCTTTAGTTAGTTGATTTTATGGACTAAACAATTTTAGAACCTTAGGATCTATTTCCTCTCGTATTCTTATAGATGGCGAAACTTAAACATGTTAATATGTGTTTGAAGCAGATATAGAAAGGTATTTAGATTTGGAGTAAAGAGAAGACTATAAATTAAAGATCATATAAAATGGATAAAGGAGATCATCAACAGCAGAAGAAAGAAGAAGAAGCTTTGCCTCCAGGTTTCAGGTTTCATCCAACGGATGAGGAGCTAATCTCGTATTACTTGGATAATAAGATCGCCGATCAAAACTTCACCGGAAAAGCAATTGCTGACGTTGATCTCAACAAGTCTGAGCCATGGGAGCTTCCTGGTACGTTAATTACTCTTAATCTTTTCTTTCTTATTCGTATACATACACAAACAAATGATCACATGTATATATTGATATATCTAAAGGAGGAAGCTCCAAAAGCCAGGGTTCAAACCTTGTTTAGGAATAATTTATTTAAATTCTGATATGTATCGTGTTTCGACC